ATGTCCTGTCGCTACTCCCCTGCGTTACTTTGTCTTCCGTTGTCTCGCTCTCTGCAGATCGCTTACTAGTTCCTCCTCGTGATACGCTTCTAGCCTTTACCCTCTCCAAGAAGTCTGATCTCCACGCCTGGATAATCTCTCTCTCCTCCCGAAACAGACTCTCTAACTCTCTCGTCACGAGTTCAGCCCTTCGCAACTTRCCCTCGTCTTGACACGACCAGATCTCCCTTAACTTGTCCCCCAACTTCCTTACCTGGTTCAAGAGTGGTTCTTTAACGCGCTTTCTCACTCTTTCGACTGCCTCACTCTCCTCTTCCATACTCAGTCCACATCTTTCTCCAGCTCACCCTCTCACCCTCGCTCTAGCCTCCTCTACCGTCTCATCGTGGTAGTGCTCCGCGCGCATATAACCAYGAGACCATATCATCACATCATAGGAAATCGAGGTCTGGAAGGTCACTCGCGCCAGTACATCAGCTTTACGCTCGTGGATCAAATCCCTAGCTCGTTGTTTGCACTCACTCGCCGTCAAGTCCTCGTCTACGTACGCTCGGAGAAGTACTGTCACAGTGTATCCTGTGCTTACCAGTTGCTCTTCTACACACATCACCGTGGCCGTCCTTCCCGGCATTCCCTAAGCTGCGACCTCGAAGAGAAATCTCGCGTCCTCTAGCCCCGCGTAATCGATCTCTGCCCGTCTCCTGCAGTACCTCAGACAGTCCACCCAGCTCGTAACATCTATGATGTCGTCAAGCGTCTCTCTACTGGGCGGCACCCACCCAGTATGGTCGAGTAGGTTCAGTAGCCAGGCTCACTCAACCGTCGCCCTGGTGCGCTCCTCTACCCACTACGCCCGGACCGCTACTCCTATCCTGGGAAAATGGGCGTATGTAACGTCAATCTCCTCCTCGTCAACCTCAGTCTCTGGGTCGATCCAGTCTGGCTCCCAGGCGTCCTCGTCATCCTCTCACTCCCAACCCTCGTTGTCAAACTCGTCCTGTACGCAGTATGGCGCCTGTCCTATACCCTGGTAGCATTGCGCCTACTGATGGCCGTATATCAGAGGTCGCCCGGCGTCCTCACTCCACCAGCTCTCCCAGTCGTCTGAGAAGAGCCGCCCGATACAGGTCACGTACTCGGGGCCTACTCGGAACTCACGATCTAACCAATCCCAAACGCACGGAGACTGGGGCCACTTGTCGTCTATCGAGCGGATCAGCTCTATAAGCTGAATCCTCTCGTCTCCCCAACGAGGCCAACCGGTCGCGAGCGAATAATAGATATAATCTAGGTCGGCAGGCCGTCTCGCCAGGATCTTGAGATCCTGATAGGCCAGGTATGTCTCGACCACTCCACCAATACCTCCAAAGACGCTCTCTACTACGAACGTCGGAACTATCGCCCGCAGGCTCCTAACGCTGTACGGGAAAAACCCGTCCCGTGCTACCACTAGCTCGCCCGTGATATCAAGAGGAGGGCGTCCGTGAAATAGGGTCAACGGGTCGCTTGCGCCCTCCGCTCGGAAAGCAGCTACCTCTTCCCCTAGGTAGCGTAACGCCCTGCTAACTGCGTCACTAGTCCCTGTCGTCACGAGGCCCACCACGGCCTCCCTGACCGCACCCGGTCTCAAATACAAGTAGGCTCTCACTACGCCCACTCCTTGCCCCGGCCGGTGCTCTCTGTACGTCCAAAGCCACACGTCCTCGGACAGGATTATGGACCTCCACACAAACTGGTCGTCAGCGTGTCGAATGCTGCGTCCGGGGATCGTGAGCTCGACCAGATCCCCCTCTATGAGTTCAAGGGGCTCTAATTCCCAATCAATGGTAGCCCCATAGACCTCTACTTGCACCCGCGGCCACATTCAACTGGCGGCTAGAGAGAACGCGGCAAGCAGGATGTGTAGATTAATAACTGAAGTTTCGCGTCGCTTGCCTGACGCCTTCGAGAACAAGCTAGTAGGTTCACCAGAAACCAGGTTACCGCAACGTCTTTTTCCGTTCTCTTTCTAGGGAATTATTTTGTATTTTTCAATTATAAATTAAAGAAAATGTATTTAGTTAAGATAAAATTTCTTTCTTAGTTTATATATATTAAGGATCAATACTTATATAAGCCCGCCGAGTTTGATGCTTTTTAGGGGTAGAAATAAAATTTGGGGAATTTACTAAAATTTCGGCAGCGTTTCGCCTCCCCCCGTTGAGATGGGGTTTGGGACTATTGTCCCTAGACAAATGCTACCTACCCAGAACTAAAGCCAAATGAAACAAGAGGAAAGTCACTGAATGAAACAAATTTTTAACGTATTTATAATTAATTTCCCTAATCGCTTTCAATATATTTATATATAAAAAAAGAA